AGGCAGCCTAGAACACAAAGCTCATCAAGCTTGGCTCACGAGCTCCGGGGTCTTTGTGCGTCTGAGATGGTTGCTCATTGCAGCTGACAATCGTGCTCCCAGAGGGCCGCATTCCCAACGAACTCCACGATCATCTCTATTCATCACTAACTTTCGTAACCAGTTTCGGATTGCTTGCAGTATACTTAGTCTGAAGTATTGCTGCGTTCTGCTCCTAGAATGATGAGGTTACAGGTTATCGTTAATGAATCTCCAGGAAGGCGCGATCGCGTTATTTCAGAAGTGTCGTGTCCAATCAGGCGGATATCAAAGAACAAGCTAACGACAGCTTGCACTTCTCCTCGAATACACGGTATACACTCGAAGTAAGGTACCCGTCGTGTCGCTTCTCCATGCTAAGTCGCAGGCCGTACGCCCTGACATGCCGCTGCGACACGGCCAACAAACCAAGGAAGCAGGCACACCTCATCTCGCCAAAACGTCTAATTGCCCTTTCTTCTACATCTACGCGTCACCTCAACTCTAGCCACCGCGGAGCAACAGTATTGACTCCTAGCGCGCGGCGTTGTCATACTTCGCTTAGCACCCCGCATCCATCGAGTCTTGACATCACGCTCGACGACCCGCCATCTCGGACCAAGACGACCATCTCTGCCAGCCTCTCCACATGCTGATGTCAGGCACGGTCCTGCAATGCACCCCAGACAGCGCTAATGCGGATCGGGCGGATATCCGAACGTTTGCTGGCCTGTAAAAGGCTTGTTTGCAAGGTTTCGCTGCAGACTCCGCTGCGTTTCAAGCTTTCGCCAATCTCATGACCGGCAATAGCTGCGTATTGCCGCGAGAGAGGCGTGGAGCAGCTAACGGCACGATTTATCCGTTGGCACAGCACAGATGGGGCTTGTTGAATGCATCGAGGCGGCTGGAATGCGCACGCGAGGGCATGCTGGCTCTGTTGTTGCGGCGGAGGAATGAGCCGTGTTAGCTCGGCTGGAGGCGTCCATGAGATGGGTGTTGTTGGAGGAGGAAGCGAAGGATATGACATTTACTGATGTCACCTTGGTGACAAGCTCAGAGGCGTCTATTGGGAGGAGGGCTAACGTATTGCTTGCATGCCTGACGAGGCGTGTGTTGATCATTGAATTGGTATAAGAGACGAAAGGGTAGTCTCTGTCACCTGCAGTCAAGCACCTGCATCTTCAACACCTTCACTCCTCAGACACCAATCGCCAAACTACAAGATGCTGTCCAAGTCTTTCTCCCTTCTCGCCTTTGGCGCTCTGGCATACGCCCAGGAGCAGGTCCAAGAGGGTGCTCCTGCGCCTGTCGTCCTCGCAACCGCAAAGTCTGGTGTCATTCCCGCCACTCCAACCGCCACTCCATTCACTGGTGTCGACACAATCCAGGGAGCCATCGTCTCTCCCCTCCCGCCTGCGCCCGGCTACCTCCCAGGCGAGACCGGTGGTCTCGAGGGCACTGCGACAGCGTCTTCCAACCAGCCCTCAGCCACCTACCGCGCCACCATGCCAGAGGTGCAATACAACCCCTTCGTGGGCAGCACTATCTCCGGTTCCATCCAAGCTGTGGGTGGTGCAGGCGGTGTCAACTTCACCGTCGACCTGACCAACCTGCCCGACCAAGCGCAATTCGGCCCATTCGCATGGCACATCCACGCCATGCCCGTACCCTCCGACGGAAACTGCACAGCAACTATGGGCCACTTGGACCCCACGAACCGCGGCGAGCTCGTCATGTGCGACTCTGCGCAGCCTGAGACCTGCCAGGTTGGTGACTTGGCTGGCAAGCACGGCGGCAAGATCATGACGGAAGGAAGTTTCACTACTAGCTTTGTCGACCCGTACCTCAGTGTTGAGCAGGGCAGTGCTGGATTCTTCGGTGGATTGGCGTTTGTCTTGCACACTGGCAACACTACGAGGATTACTTGCGCGAACTTTGAGATGGTCGGTGGCAACGGTACTTCTCCCAATGGCACCATGGCCATGCCCAGCCCCACTAGCAGCGACCCAGCTGAGTACACTGGTGCTGCTACCAAGCTTGGTGGAGGTGCTGCTGCTCTTGCGGCCGGTGTTTTTGCCGCGATGATGCTGTAAACAGTGGTACTATTTGATTGTTTGAGTCATAGAACTATACCAATAACGTATTACATGTCCCACGCAAAGGAATGCATGATATCGTGACATGTATCCTGTTATGAACGAGGTCAGAGAGCATTGCGCCATGTTGTACAAGAACTTACACAGATAATTGACGGAAGTATATAGTGATGCATATCCGTAGGTATTTCCATTAGGCTATAGCCTCCTCAGTAACGCCGGCATCTGTCTTGCTGCCCCATGCTGGGTGAATAGTACTTTTACACTCTTTGTCGCAAAGGTACCCCTTACATACCCAGTATCTGGGACCACTCCCCAGCCTCCTACCGCATTCCAAGACTGCGCACGTCTTCCACTTTCCTCCATCGCTTTTCAGTCCCTTCCTCAGCAACCTCATCGCGCTTTCTGTCTTGCGCACGGCGAGCTCTGTACTGTCCAACTGACTGCAAATACGACAAAGTTGCCTAGTAGTCTGAGATAGACTCATCTCAGTGTAGTACGCGTGTCTGTTGAAAAATCCCCAAAACGCTCTTTGTTGTTGAATAGAATTGCGCTTTACACAGTCGCAGGTCGGGTTTCCGTATGCTCGACTTCTACGATTGCGAGAATTGCGAACGATGTGTGTATGGTAGCACGATGCGCAGTATGGGACGCAATTCTCGAGATGGTGAAGTGCAGGCGCATGTGGCATAAAAGAATACTCTTCACACCCGTCACACATCTGATTCGTGCAGGCCCAACAAGTGTTCTTCTCGCCAGGGTCGCACGTGTAGCGCCTGAAGATACCAATTCGGCTTGAGACATCGTTCGAAGGTAGGACTGATTCGCGGACTGATTTTGAGACGGATGATAGGCTGGCGATATCGGTGTAGTGCAGATCTTTGGCGACCATGATCAACATGTCGTAGACAGCCAGAAATCGCGAAAGCTCGTTTTGAGTACCACCACTACCTTGACACGGTAGAACAGTATCACCGCTGTTACTCGCGTGCTTTATGCGCTCCGTCAACATCATTTCGATCTTTTGCTCCGCCCCTATCGTAGCCTTCGTGACGTACCGACGGACTGATCGCACCGGGGCTTTGAAGTCCATCGGTAGATAACGGAAGAACAAAATCGGGGTGTAGACCAGAACGCCATAGACCAAGAGCGCTGGCCACTTGAACATGCAAGCGAAGCAGCCCCGGTGCATTTTAAGGATTTCTTTTACCATGTCGAGAATGGAATCGTCGTTCTTTCTAATCTCTAAAATAGCACCGGGGAACGCAAGGACACCGATGAACGACACGAGGGCGTAGAAAAAGCTGTGGTAGTCAGCAAGACCCATCTATCCACGAATATACGGCTTACGTTAGCGCAACACCATATTGTGCCTCTTTCACAAATTCCAAGCACATGGCAGTCGAACTCGCCGTTGTCTCGTTGAGTCTTCCGGCAGCAGCAAAAAAGCTCTCATTCGTGCCAGCGGGTCGCTGCAATTCGAGGCCCGCTTTGTCATGACAAGCTTTCAGATTAAGAGGTATGTATCCAACCTGGTAGTTTGTAGCCATCGCCAGAAAGACGGTGATCGTAGTGTCGACAATCGTGAAAGGTAAGTTCAGTGGAGGGAAGCATACCAGCGCAGGCCACCAACAGGCCAGGTTCCAGATCCATAAGATTATGCCCCATTTGTCCGCAAGCCTTTCGCCAGCTAGCATGGACGTGCCGTAGATACCGTCGTGAAGTTCGGGATTAATCCTGATCAACTCGTGGTGGTCTGCCGCGGCGACCCAGTAAATTATCGCGGGTGAGAACAGGGCAAAACGAATAACGGCAATGAACATGCTCGCGTTTGTCCAAAAGTAAGAGTTTACTGCCATAATGGGGAAACGAAAAGTTGATGTTAAGGGTGGCTTGGTGGGTGTAATCGCGAATCCGTAGTCGGAAGTTCACCACAATTCAATCATTGGAGCCATCGCGAGTTATAAGGTAGATGGTGCCTGGCGCACAAGGCTGAGCGGCTGAGTCTCTGACAGACCTCGGGACGCAAGCCACCACGGCAGTTTCTTGCAGAGGTGTGCGTGAAACTACGGGAAAGAGTTTTGGCGTCGGAGGCTTGTACTGCGAAGCTCTGATCTTCGCGATGAAGTGGCCGCGGTCAGCCATAAGGGCATAGTTGGGGTGCTGCCAAGATCCGGTGAACAGAAACATCGTGACAAGCAAGGCTGTGATTCGGTCATTTCACGCATGTTCGTATTCGTCACCCCTTGCGAGCGACATCGCAACAGCCTTACTCTCATTCAGATGTGCGAGGCATTCCACGCATGGCGAGTAGTGGCCTTGGGAATGCGAGTCGCGAATGACGTAGTTGCACCTGCGGGACCAAGCCGGTGCAGAGTTCTCAGTGGCTTTGACCGCACGTTGCCCGTCACGATGCCGCTGTCATTTTGCTAGCAGAAACTATGCGCATATTCAAGGGTGTAGTAAACGGTTGTCGACAAGGTAAGGGTGTCGCGCAAGATGAGGTGTTGAGTTGTGGTAGTGCTTCCCTGGCCAGGCTAGTAGTGCACGGCTCGAACCGCCGCCGGTGGGTCGCGATTTCCATGGCAACGGCGGGTGTTTATCGATGCCACCAGGCTCTCCCACGCCAACTGTCGGCCAGCTCAAGAAGGTCCAAGCCTGAATCTTGCGGCCCACACAGGCGTAGAATATTGCTTACTCCGCACTTTGGACCTCTTAGCTGCATGTATGTAACCCCCCATCCCGCCTTCCCCTACCGCCTTCTGCACCTCCAACGCTTGATCTCAACAACATCTGGACTGCATCCTTAGTCGCAGCATATATTAACTCTGGTTGATAGAGCTGTCGCTACTGTTTTTGCACCGGTAAATTCAGATCAATTTCACAATGGAGGCTCTACTCTCCCTCGCATTCGACAACATAGCGTCCAAGGATACGCAGAAGATTCGCAAAGGGTTGCGCCAGATCGAGGGCATGTTGGCGCAAATATGTCTTTCAAGCGGCAAGCCACGAAACTCACCACCGGGCCACCGACGGAACGCCTCTGCGCTCAATTTGGGAGATCAGCAACAACCAACGCCGAAGAAGCTGGGGCAGTTATCAGACGATCTTGCCTTTCGCGAGTTCTTTCGGTTGCAAGAGGGATTCGAGTGGAATGGTGAGTTGAGAACTTGCAACAATGCCAGTGTATACTAACAATTATAGTTGTAACACGAGTAGCCGACTGTCTGGATCGACTGCTGGGCATGGGAAGCAGTAAGGGTAAGAGGCCCGACTAGAAAATGCCGAACACCAGCTAACCAACTACCGATAGATGGCCAAAACGACATCCTCATCCTCTCCTCGTTATCGAATATCCAGGGTCTTCTCCTGCTGCACCCGCCATCGCGCATCATCTTCGGTCGCGAAGTTTACATGAACGTCCTCCTCGACCTGCTCGACCCCTACAACTGCCCCGCCATCCAATCCCAAGCCCTCCTCGTCCTGGTCACCGCGCTTCTTGCGACACCACAAAACACGCGAGTGTTTGAGCATATGGACGGCCTGCTCACCGTGACCAGCCTGTTCAAGGACGAAGAGACTACACAAAACGTCAAAGTCAAGCTGCTGGAATTCCTATACTTCTACCTCATGCCCGAGATCCCAGGTTCTGGCCCGCATCGGAGTCCTAGCAAGCTGACCAATGCTTTCGAGCGGCGGGGAAGCACTGCGACTGGCGACGATGGCGGAGGTGCGACCAGAAAGCACATTCGGTCGCAAGAGGAGAAGCAGAACATGCTGGGACGGTACCTCCCCAACGTGGATGACCTTGTCGAGGACCTCCAAGAGACCGCACCGTTCAACAGCGTCGCGTGCTGAGAGTCCCATCAGCGCCACCAGTTATCACCGTTGATGACTACACACATTTCCTTTGTCCGCCAATTTGGCCTGTCCATATACTGTTACCACTATACCTTCCCTTACTATTTTGTTCTGTTCAGCGAGGCGTCAAGGAAACTCGGGATTATTGTAACCATGCGTCTCCTACCCACAGCTAACGCTGGTCTCTTTTTGTGTTTGGCATTTTTGCAAATTGGAAAGACTCGTCGCTTCATTGCGTATCGCAGCCGATACATTCGCTGTACATCATGTTCGCCATGCATTGCATGGTACTCGGGCGTCTCTGGTAGGCCAGCGTTCGTCTCAGAGTGGTGGTCAAGACGGACTACACCCTAGTCCGGCTCTCATTAAATTAAATAATATCAGAATGTCACATCTGACACCGTATGTTCGACGTTGAGCGCTGTGTTGAGCCATTGCGGGTTGAGATCAGCGAGGCGAGCGAAGGCGATGGGACGCGCCGCTCGCTTACGTGCAGTTCAATACGATATGCTAACGTAGAATGTTTCCTATCTTGCGCACTGTGTGCAACATGAAGACAGGAGCAGTAAATGCTAATGTCATGCTTAATATACAGGTCTACGCCTGATTGGTGTATCTACACGCAACGTTGACCGCGAATGACTAACTACGTCAACCAGTAAGCCTGCTACGACGAGCTAGGAAGCTGACCAAGAAAGCAGTTTTTATCAGTTCCTGCAGTTCATTACCTGTACACCCCATTTCCCCCAAACGAGGTATCCAGCAACAAGCAACCGATACCATCATCCTCAAACAGGAAGACCTACGTCTGGATAGAGCTGACCTAAGGAGAGCATCCGTATTCAGATCGCTGCTATGAGTAAGTTGTACGACGCGAAACAGATTACTTTGACGACTTTAGAAAGTTACACCGCATCGGTCCTTGAAGATGCACAATGTCCTCAGCTTCCAGCTACCACGAACAAGGTAATCATCAGATGGTGTCGTATTGCTAACGCATGCTGCTGCACTGTGAGAAGAACCATGAAGATCCCGACTTGGATCTGAAAACAGCACTCAGGTATAAAACCTCATCTTCCTCCCCTCCAACACCAAGCATCAAGCTACCCAGCCTCAACACAACCACCCTTCACACCAGCACCAATAAGTAGAATGCAGTTCCTCTACGCCCTTCTTCCCCTCCTTCCCCTCGCAGCCGCCAATGGCCGAATCCGCTTCAACTCCTTCGACCATCCCGGCTGCCAAGGTTTCGAAGAGAACTACGACCTCAACCCCGCTGTGGTGAAGGGAAACTTCCCAGGTAAGCTCCGGACATCATTGACGTGGCATCATGCTCTAACAATGCGCAAAGGACCCCGCGGGTCCATCCAGATGTTGGTCACGTCTCCTGGGTGCCATCTTACGCTTTACACCGGCCCCAACCAGTCGCAGACCAACGGCGGCAACCTTAGGATCGACACTGGCGTGGCGGCTTGCTTCTCGAACCCTAATGGATTTGAGGATTATCTCAGCTTCGGCTACTACTGCGATTAGATGATGGTGGAACGGAGAGATCAGGAGACCGATGAGTGGACGTTGCCCGATTGCTGAGCCGCTCTTTTCTTAGTAGATCGGGCCGTGGAAAAGGAAGAGTAAAGAGTAGTGGAAGCTGAGAGTGAGACAATGAAATTCTGTCAGCACTTGAACTGATTTGCCTTTGACTTGAGAACCCACATTGACTGTTAAAAAGTACTCCCCCGTGGCCTGATCAAACTGGGCTGGGAGTGTACCTAGGCCTCTCTAGTAGGCCGGTGTTGTTGCTGAAATGTCGAGGGGCTAGTAGACACTATTCTCCGGTTCTCGTTGATATGTAAGGATGGTACATTTTACGAAGGGTGTTGGGTGCCTATGTTCTCTGTGCGGGTCTTTTCATGCGCTCATGTTTTCCAATATGGTTTCCGCAAACTCCTGGTCAATGCTGACGCAAGGTGAGTCGCAAGCAGACCTGGGTGATGCCCAGGTCTAATTCACTGCTATAGTTTGGGAGAACCCTATAAGAACGATGCAGGTGTGCTGAGCGAGGCCGTGCAGCATGATGGCGGTAGAGTTCTATACGTGAACGCTATACAAAGAAACTGTTTCAACAGTGTACGGAGCATCCGGGGGCAGATGGAGGCGGCAGGATGCTTAGGTGTGGATGATTCGTCGAGACCGTGGACTATACACCACGCAGCTGCGGTGAAGATTGTGCAGTTTAGAAACGATGAGTGCCAATGCATTCTCGTACCTCGTACTCGCGCGTAAGCGTATCGGCACCGGCAAGACGCGAGACTCCGTACCCGCTACGGGAGATTATCTTGATCGAAATCGAAGATTATGCGCATCTACCAAAGCGGCTTAGTGCCGGTACTGGGCGGAAGCTAAGCCTATGGACGACAGTCGCGTGTTCATGTGAGACCGACCACGATATTTCGCAACCAACAGGACTCCGCCGCGCGAAGGCGTCAATCCTCGCCCATGATGCGCGCATTACCACTGGGACGAAATCTTGCTGTTGGACGCATTCTTGACGTCCGCGGGCGCGATAAGTACTTGGGACCGAGCATTGCTGTCAAAACTCTGAAATGTCAATGACGCAACATGTAGCAAATGATGTGCGAGCACGCGACACTAAGCAAGCAGTCACATCGGAAGGCCGGCTCCTTCTGCACCCAGCAGGGCCACGCCGCACCAAATGCCATGGCAGCGCAGCTTCGTCCGAACGTCCGCTGCCCTGTCCGTGGCTGCTGTGGCTGTTTAGTCACTCTACGCATGCCGTGCGTTCCGCTGACTTCACTACGCGCCATGAGCCCTGCCTTTAGTGTAGGATGTAGTCCTCGGCATCGGCCAGTCTTCTTGCCTGTTCCTTGATGCGAAGACTTCTGGGCTTGTCATAGCTAACATTTTTGTTCTTGAAACACCCACGAGTTCCTCACCTCTACCCTTCAAGTCAGAGCAGAAGGTACGATACAGCGCTGCGTCAGGACCTCCGCGCATAGATTCCCGGATCGACCGGCTAGCCAAACACTACCGCCATCCCTACAAATATACTCAGTTCCTCTGGGTTATCGTATTGGAGTTGAACCCCCGGGAAGCATACTATTGCTCAAACATCGCGCGACCACCCATACCACCTATACATCGCCGCCTCGCGCGTAGTCCCCCACCATGGGCGCAGGAGCCTTCATAGAACCACTCGTGGTAGTCACCCTACTCTTCGGAGGTACATGGGTAAACCGAAACACCGAATACCGCCTTATTGGTCGGCGGAGAGTATACCAAAACTCGCCGCGGTCAAGTTCTCCAGATTCCGGTCGATCTAGTCCGTCGTCGAGCGCGTCGCTTCTCGCCAATGTCGACGAGGAACCCAAATGGAGGAAACGAGAGGTGGTAGTCCTGGGTATGAAGAAGGAGGTCATGAGCCCGAATACCAAGAGGTTCCAGGATTACTTCCTCAGTCGACTGCTGAAGAAGTTTCCCTTCCTTGTGGAGGCCTGGTACTGGGCGCTTATCTACTGGGTAAGCAAACGCGCGAGTACTATACATCTTCTCTGCAGAGATGCTAACTTTCCTCAGGTGTACCAACTAGGTCGCGCATTCTCCGCAGTAACCATGGTCGAAGGCACCGTTAACGTCGCTCGCCGCCACGCCCTCCAAATCATCCACCTCGAACAGAAACTACACATCTTCCTTGAACTCGACGTTCAAGCGTGGTTCCTGAAGCACCCCTTCCTCCTCCACTGGACGAACCGCACGTACTCCTTCATCCACATTCCAGGCACAATCCTGTTCTTGGTATGGCTCTTCTACTACACCACAACGCGCAACCGAATCGATCTTCCCCTCCACAACAAGCCAATCGGCGAGGCGGATGGCAGCCCGGCAGGACCAATGCTGTATGCTGCCAGGCGCAGAACGATGGCTACATGCAACTTGATTGCGTTCATCGTTTTCACGCTGTGGCCATGCATGCCGCCGCGTCTGCTCTCCGACCCCGAGGTTCCCGGCTCCGTCGGCAAAGAGGCGCGTAGCTTCGGTTTCGTCGATACTGTTCACGGTGCCGAGGGCGAAAGCAGCGTGTGGACGCAGAACAAATTCTGCAACCAATACGCTGCCATGCCTTCCCTGCATTTCGGGTACTCGCTCCTCATTGGCCTGACCATCATGTCGATTCCTCTTGCTCCTCAGCACAACCGATCCCGCACCGTTGCTCTCACCATGGGTCTGCGCATGCGTCTCCCGTCTGCCCGCCGCATGCTCTGCATCTTCTTGGGTGTCGCATACCCTGCTATCATCCTGGTCGCCATTGTTGCTACCGCGAACCACTTCATCCTCGATGCCGTGGCGGGCGCCATGGTCTGTGGGCTTGCATGGACTGGCAACAGGGTGCTCTTGAATTTGCTGCCACTAGAGGACTACTTCCTATGGTGCGTGCGCATTCACAAGCCTGCGCGCAAGGCCGTCCACTGGGACGGTGACGAAGATGAGAATGACTACGGCCATAAGAGGTTTGGCGCTAAGGGCGTCATCGTCGATTAAAGGCTTTGGACGTGAGAGTGTGGAGGTAATGCATCAGTAATGTCAAGCATTGGGTATCGGCGTCTGACCTGGGTCGGGTACTTGGGTAATGAGGGCGGCATGTCCATTATGACTCTCCATTTTTTGGGTAAACAGAATAGTTTGATACCCTTGGCTAATAAATATGTTGTAATTCGATATCTGTTTGTTGGAAACCAGTGTCATGAACGAAGCGTGATTCCTCATGTCACTGATTGTTTTTGGTCCTTTCCGCCACCTTCGTACCATCACATGTGACGAAGTGCTCTAGCAAACCTCTGCCGCGTCCCTTCCTGCAATCTCCAGAACCCAGCTGTCATGCTCTCTGCCCGGTTCGAAAGAACGATGAAATCAGGCCGCCCCCTCAGGAGGAGTGATGGGATGTCCCGTGAGCTTACTTCTCCACCCCATGATGAACGAGC